ATTTTTTTGCCATATCGCACATTCCTAATATGAATAGTGTTCATAAATAGACAGATATACCTTTGTTTTAAACCTTTTTCTATCATATATTATGTTACCAGTGATATTTTCCGTAAGGATCAAAGTTAATGTTTAAAAATTTCGTCTTATTATTTAATTGTTGCCACAGATAAGTTTAGCATAACTAATACATTGTTGTCTTCGTCTGATGTATTAGCCTCATTAAGCTATAATTTTCTAAGCAGTCAGCYGCACAAATGCAAATATCATGAGCTAATGAAAAGAGAATGTGGCAAAAAGAAATAAATGAAGTTGCAAACCCGTTGCTGTGGACACAAATAATACGTTTGTTTTGTGTAACTAAATTATAAGGTTCAGTAACCAAACATTTCCTCTGCAATGACCAACCACTTTGCATAAAAATATAAGCAGCTGATTGAATTTCTTTCTTGTGATCCCTTTCTTTACTAAAGCAGCCGTCATCATTAACGTGCAGATTTATTCTATTACCAGAACACCTGCAGTTCAGAACACCGCAAGCTGCTTTTTTTTTTACAAGATTCTAAATATAATACCTATGAATATTGTCACAAACACCTGCTAGCAGAGAACACTGGGGGGTTGGTAAACAGGCGTATGGGTGGGAGGGGGGTTTACCCCTTCTTTTAACTCTGTGTCRCATGTGACCTTTATCTGAGGTGTGTGAACGCTTTATATTGGATCGACTGTAGCTCTTTTTCATCTGTGTTGTGAGAACTGTTTGATTTTTATTTTCTGTTTGAAATATTAGAATAAATTTTAAAGTGTCTAACTGGTGAACTTTTTATGATTGCAGCTACTTTAAGAATATTTGTGGATTTTAATTTAGTTTTTTTCTGTATAAGCAGCTATCGGGACACCACCAAATCCAAAACAGATGTGTATCATAATATACTGTACTGTATCATTTGGGAATCACTGCTTTAGACAGTGTCAAGGGCTGAAGGAACTTTCCAAGGTCCTGAAAGTGCTGGACTATCTCTGGACCTTGGACAGCGTGAAGGACTGAAGGTACTGTCTTAAGTCCTGAAACATTCCATCACTTTCAGGACCTTGGACAGTCTCTTCAGCCCTTGACACTGTCCAAGGTCCTGAAACATTCAAGAAAGTGTTCTTGATTATTTCATTCGAGGTGACCCCTACAATTGCAAAAAAAATAATAATAATAAAATAAAAACTGAAAGAAGCTTATTCACCTTAAAGTAGCGGAAAGTAGCTGATAGGAGCATTAGCAGAATAGCTGATAAATGCAGATAGATATGAAAAAGCAGAAACAAAGCTAAAAGATGCAAAAAAAAAAGCTGAGGAAGCTATAATTAGTAAAAAATAAGTTAATAAAAATGCAGAACCAGAACAAAATGTGAAAATTGCAAGAAAGGTTTCATTATTTTTAAGGAATTTAAGACTGTTGAAGAAAGCTCCATTMATTTTCAATGAGATAAAAATGGCTGAAAAGGCTAAATATTTCAGGAGCTGAACATTTTGTTGTGTGAACTGTTGTTATAGCACAAAAACCGTGTAASGAGATATGTCCCAAAGATTGTATGGATGATCAATGGATCAACTCAATACAACTGTATTCCATAAAATATGACTTGTAAATTATTAGAAACTATAAAGGGAAKCTCAGTTTTATTTGCAGAACTAAGAACCATTGAAGGTTACTGGTTATGTATGTACATGCACACATGACATTTCTCCTGATGTATGCAAGGTCATATTGATCTAGAGCTTTAGCTTTGGCCTTGGTTTATCAACTTGCATATAAGATAATTGTTGGTGTAAGTAGTTTATTTGCARTCGATAAGCCATAAACCTAATCCACACTTTAGCCCTGACATTGAGGCTTCCTAAGTTGTTTTAGGAATGTTACAGTGTGTGTATTAGAGATTCCCTCTGAGACTGACGGGCATAACTGGGAGGAGTATGCAAGCAGGAAGAGGTTGATGAAGCCTTTGAGCCACAAAGACTCAATAATGGAAACTCAATAGCCAAAACAGAGTGTAATCACTCCTAACTGTCTTTTCTTTAGGTGATAATGTGATAAAGGAAGGAATCAAATGAATGAAAGGAAGAAGAGGAGCTGAGGAGGGAAGCTAAGAGGGATACAGTCAGAAATGCTATTCCAATGAGTCCAAATGAGCAGTGTGGATAGAGGAAAGRAGAACGTGAAAGAGGGAAGGGGAAAAAGACGGGCATTGATCTAAAAAGGAGAAAAGAGTGGATGTTATACCCTAGATGCCATTCAAGGCTCAGCTCTGCTCTTTGACTCATGCCAGCTCGTTGTGAACAGATGGTTTCTGTAGTGCACAGGCACACACATCGACACACAAACATGCCAGCAGAGCAGCAAATTAGACGGGCCAATTAGAAATGGCTGCTATGAAGCTGACGAGAGAAAARCTAACATGGCAGAAGCTTCTGGAGGCAACAGGGCCATGACAGTGACGGTAGGCTCATTGGGCCTGTTCATTAACTGATTAACTCTCTGTGGATCTCATCCGACTCGCTGTTAATTCAAGTTTATGATCTCCACCRATGGTTCACACTGATAAAACACTGGCAAATCAATAGCAGAGGTACAGGAATATTGAACAGTGCATGGTCTGCAAAACCAGAACATTAAAAAAAGACTAACTGCTCACAATTGCTTATTTTTCTTAAGTTTTATTCCTGTTTAGGAGAAAATTCTTGATTTTCACTGCTCCTAYAGAGACACACTTCTATTACTTTTATACTCTCTTTTTATACTCCATACTCTATATTGAACTGTTTTTATTGTTTGTATCCAGCGTTCATATTAACTTAGACAAATTTTCTTTATTTCCCTATTTTAATTTTATGGTAACGTTATGGAGGATAAAATAACAAACATAAAAACATACTTGCATCGAAGGCCCTGCAGTCCTGCCTCTACTTAATTAAAACATTGAATGTAAGCTATTCAAAGTATTTCTGTTTTTGTTCTACATTACCATTTTGATTTATTCTCTTTAATAAACACCCACAGGCTGTTTTGATCTTCTGCAGAGTGAGAATAGCTCCTTAATGRTATGATTATTGGGTTTTATTTACAATTCACACTTTTGTGAAAATATGTGCTCACACGTGATGGCGAATGACAGGCAAAGTTTTAGGCAGTTTACTTATTTGTTGCAAAAAATAAAGACTAGGGGTGCACCGATTTCAGTTTTTCGGCCAGTCACCGATCTTTAAAAACACTGACCTGCCGATTTGGATTTTGGCTGATACCATTTTCTTTTAAATAACYAACTATGTTAGGTGTTATAAGGTCACAGTACACCAAATTGTTTTAAATGGACATTAGGTAATGTTTACAGCAGTGCAAAAGTGGACAGTGACTTTCAAACCTTTGTGGAGGTAGATGATAAGGCAGTCTTTTCCATTAATCTTTAGGTATCGGCCGATATCGCAAAATTAAAGAAATCTGTGCACTTTCTATTGGTGCACCTCTAATAAAGAATGGAAGCTGTTTGTTTTTGTTTGTTTATGGTGGACTAAATTGTCACCTCATTGAGATAATTGTGACTACAAACTGAAAGGAAGACACACAGTTTTCTCTCAGCCATCTGTAGATGGTGTCCCGGAGCCCTGTACATGTGGGGATGGTTACGGCTGTTGATGGGTTTTGAATCCAGATCTTGGAGCTAACAGATGGTTCCTCCACAGGTCCCTCTCTGCTCTTTCTATTTATCCCTGAACTAATGTACACTTTCCCCTCTCATTGTAAGTCTTGGATGAATTATTCTTTAAGTTTTTTTTTCTTCAGTCAAGTTTGTTTACTAAAGCCATTAAAACTAGAAGATGGACAATGGTGTAGTTTCTTTCTATGTAGTGTTCCATGACTTAGATACATACTTTAATGCTTAGATAAGAAAATGTACTTTTTCCTTTTTTCTTCTTTACCTAACCTTGGCTGTTGACAGACAGAAGCATTATTGTTTCGTGAAGAAAAATAGAAAATTCTTTATGTCCTTTAGCAGCATCAACCCTTTATTTTCTTGTGTTCTTGGTTCTAAAAGAGCAGAATAACCCTGAGGCTTTTTCTGCAACTGTCAGCTCAAGTGATTTTTTTCTTCTTTTTTTTGCTAAGAAATATTCCAGGTAAGGCCACTGTTCCTTCAAGTGTTTAGAGGTGACGTGTAGGAGTTAACAAGAAAACCAGCTCTGTAGACTGTACAGGCTATAAGTGAGYCTGTATAAGTGAGCATGCCAGTTTTTCTCCTAACCAATATAGGGCTTGACTTTGATCAAAATTGTGTTGATGTCAAACAGGATGCAATCAATCAGGTGCAAAAACACACAAAAATTACGCCATAATCATAATAATATATTTTATTTGGATTCTCCTTTCTTAGCACTCAAGAACACGATAAAAATACAACATAGTAGAAAACAAAATAATWAAACATCCTGCATAACATAACTTTAAAAAGGTAGCATAAGTTGGTTCAGCTTAATATATTTCTTAAAAAAGGAGTTTTAATGCATGATTTGAAAATGGAGACAGTAGGAGAGTTATAGGGAGGTTCAGGCTCCACCTAGAAAGGTCTTCTTCTACACAAAACAACCARAAACACTAGAACTACTGTAGCCAGTCCTGTATGTGGTCAAAATAGATCAAAAACAGGAAGCAAGCTAGAGCATGTCCAGAAAACCTGTAAAATGTGAGCACAAGTAAATGAGGCCCACCCCCCAGGTGTGCTAGGTTGGAGGCGGAGCTATGACATCATCAATAAAAAGGTTGCATTTAGACACAGTCAGTTTTCAAAAAAGAACATTTTTTGTGCTCCTAAAGCATAATTTCTGTGTGGACACAAGGCCTAATTGTCCAATTTGTGAAAATGTCACAGTTACTCAAAATCAAAATCTGTTTTTTTTTCTCAACCACAATTACATTTCCATAGTCCTCTGTACGATTTGAAACAAATTGTGTACTACATGGTGTGCGCATGTAACATTTAAAAGAATAAAAGCCTCAAACATTTCTTTCTGACAGCTGAAGAGTGACGGATGTTTCTAACATCAGCTTCAAAGCAAATGAGAGGAAGCAGCAGTTCATAGGCAGAACAAATATTAGTCTGTGATGGGTTCCATCGTCAGGGCTAATTACACACCACTGTCTTTCACACTGAGCGGTGCTGAACAGAGTTGACACCTGTCTGAGGAAACACTGGCTCTAATAGTAAAGGTTAAAAGCTTTAAAAGGTCATCATCAGTTCTGAGATGAGTGTGGAACAGTAGATGTATCATAAAACATATTCACATACTAAAAAATGGCAAATCACACATAATACTTTAAGTAAATCAAAATATTTCTTTTTCATCTACATCAAACACACCTCCCTCCTTAAAAGCTACCTTTAAATAATTAACTTGCTATTTGTTTCAGACACTTCCTTTATTAATTATGCTTATAATACATTGTTAAAATGTTTGCTTAATTTCCAAAGGGAATAGATTTGAAAGAGTAGGGCCTTATTTTAACTTGTCAGCACTACCAGCTGTGCTGACGGGCTTCAACAGAAGATGGTTTGTTCACCTGGAGTGTGCTGCTTTTGCTGAATTCATCTTGATCAATTCCTTTAGGACAGCAGGCAGGTTTTTTTTATTTATTTTTTGCTGATTGTGGATGTTCTTGTTTAGCTGACCTGCAAAGAGTTCAAGGGAAATATTTTATTTTATATGTAATATATTTTTTCACTCCAGGTAAGTTCAAACTATAGGTCTTGGCATGATATACGTACAGTATGTGATTTGTTTTCATTCATAAAGGATTAAAATGTGAAAAGTCAGCATTATTGCAAATCTATTAGTTTTGAAGGTTCAATAAATTGGCCTCCAACTGAGCTGTAAAAAATAGCCTCTGTCTTCTTCTTAGCAGTTGCCTTTTTCTTTTCGAGTCCATTTTTAATATTTTTAACCATCATCTACAAGAAGTAAGCTTCTTTATCTTTATTTCACTGCAGTTCATTCTTTTTTTTTTTTTTGTATTTTGTATTTTGTCTTTTTTATCTTCTCTCTCCTCATTTGATGCAGCCAGCTTCTTTCCTCCTTACCCTGCCATCCATCACTGGGTGGATTTTCTCAATCACTTATGCATATCAGCTTGCTTTAACTGATGCAGATACACATTCTCTCTCTTTTCCCCCCCTCAAGCCCTGAAATTACAGCCTTCATCTTATCATTCCCAGCACTCCTCAGTTGTGTMTCTGCAGCAGCCTCATTATGGACTCTTGTTGTCTCTGCAGCTCTGTTCTGGGAGTTTGGTTGACCTTTGACAAATGGACACGCCYAACATGTGAATTGATCTGTGTCGGCTAGGATCGTAAAGCGCCAGTCAATCATTAACCTGTYGGGTTATTATTATTTTTTCCTCATTATAAACATTTCACTTATTTGAAAAAAATGTAGTTTTAATTTGAAAGATTCGGATCTGGATCTGATTTCAGCATTAAGTACAGAGCTATCTGTAGTGATGTTCTGTGGCTAAGATTATATCTGGCTTAGACAAACTGCCAATATCAATACCTGGTTAATGAGGAGGAACGTGTTAAAAAAAAACCTCAGCAATCAAATCCTTTGAGGAACTTAGGATTTTTTTCTTAAACTTCACAGACAGTCCATTGTCACTCAGTAGGAAAATTTGCACTACTATAGCATGAATATGATTGACAAAATTAATCTGTAAAATATGCATATTATGCAAAAATTATAGTAGTAGTGAAAATTAAATAAATTCTAAARCATACTTACTACAAAATATACAAAACGTATACAAATAAAACAAATTTCCTTACAAATGATATATACTACATATTGTAATACCTATATATTTGCTATACATGTTAATACTTTAAATAAATATTGGTCATTTTATCAATTTGACCAGTTCAATTAAATGCAATAATTCCACCCCCTACCCCAACCCCAAGSCATTTTATTATCACAGATTTCTTTGTTGCATTAATTTTCCCACATTTGTTAGGAGCWGTTGAACATTACCGACACAGTCCTACTTGCATGCATTTTTAAATTCCAACAATATTGGTACAACTTAGCAAATGGGTTCGTTCACAATGTATGTTCTTCTGTTACGTGTGTTTTTATGTGCTTTATTTGTCATGCACGAGGGGGGGAAATGTTTGGTCACTGAAACAATCTGTTCCCTAGTGTTGCTGCTGCTCTGAATAGATGAGCTTCCCTGCAGGGAGCTATTCTAATCCTCACTACATGAAGGTTCTGGCACAACATAAGACAGCGCAAAACAAAAACTCACAATAATGAAGTTTTGGTAAGAGTGTTTTAGAGTAATCCCAATCCTATAGATTCTTTCAACCAGCTTTAGGTTMGATTTTTCATGTTTGTCACGTACACACAGGCAATCTTTTATGATCAGTTATGGAGAAATGAACTACATACAGGTTATATGACAGATAAGATAGCTCCACTAAAGAGTATGGTGCATGGAAGTGTGTGTGTGCAGAATAAGTGCTCTGCTTCAGGTCAGAGAAGAAARATTGAGGGCAACAGTAAGACCTAGAAGTAAGAAGACCATTTCTCAGTTCAGTAAACCTAAATTCAGATATTACACACWGCCCTGCAGGAAAACAATGTGATGGAGCAGGAGAAAGAAGCTGAGACACAATGAGGTTTGAGATTGAGTTTCTGATGAGTATAGCCTTTTGGGTTTTTACTAAAAAATAAAAAATAAAAAAAACAGAAAAAAAGACTAAATGAATGTGTTGCAGGTGTGAGCGAGGAGCCCCCCGTTCACAGAGTGACCACGAGCCCTCCTTCAACGGATCACCAGAGAACGGCACCKTATCGCAGCAACAGTCTCCAACCTCCTTCCACCCCGGCCCTGCCACGGCGCTACCTGCCTCCCCAACCCCGGAGCTCCCCTGGAGGTCAGGAAAAGTTGTTTAAATTTTTTTAAATCAGCTATTTAAATCTACAGTACACAATGGTTTGCTATCTAGAGATACTAAAGGTCATTTGGACACATTCTTGAACTTTTTCTATATCATACTCTCAAAACACAAGATATTCATGAACATTCATAACCTGGGATTGTCTTGAGAACCTCTAGGAGAAGGCCTAACAGAATGATTTTGAAATGTTAGTGACACTCAAAGGTAAAGCTGCTTTTTAAATGTTCAAATCCATCATTTAATTTATGGGGCACCAAGTATAAAATAAAATGCTAAAAAATGATCTAACTTATTTTCACATTGACATTATTTAACACATTATTTAGCTCACATTCTGAGTGTAAAAT